AACAGCCATAAATGCAAGCCACTGCCAAGTGACCAAAATGCGATCATGTGACTGTGGGGGAGGAGAGGAATAGCGGTTGGAACTTTGAAATTGGGTCATAAGTAGCTCTAGGGAAGTCTGTTGTAACTTACAGCAGTCTCTAAGCAATCAAGTCATAAGTTGAGGACTACGTGTATTTTTGCCAAGAAGGCATCCTGAACGTTTCACTTCAACTTGAGAGAGTTCATTGTTTTTAGAGACCAATTAACAAGCACCTCAAATTTGGCCAAGGGATGAGGACTTTTTCTACATACCTTTGCCTACAATCTTTTTCTTATAAGAAAAAAAGAAAGAAAACAAACCAACTGATAATTCTGCTATTTCTCTTATAGCCTACAGTGCCGTGCTAAGCCTGTGACAGCTCAACCAACACAGAACTACATTGAAACATGAACATCCATTGACAGACATGAAAGTTTATGAATATATTTCACAAAATACCCGCACTGGGATCTTGGTCTTGCTGTGGGTAAGAAGTGAAACAGATCACGTGGATCTCAGGGCACCGGCTCTTGAAATAATGCTTCCAGGCCACCACCAGGGCTGGTGGGGCTAAATCAATCTTGTTCAGTACTAAGATGAGGTTTTTCTTCATCTGCTTGGTGACAAACTCATAGAGAGCTGGAGAGAAGTTGATGACCTGAACGAGAAAGGTTTGAGAAAGAGAGAAAAAAAATAGAATGGGGAAATTTAGAAAAATAAAACATCATCCTGATTTCGATTTTCTAGGCCAGGCATGTCAAACCCGTGACATCACATGACATCGCGCGACATATCGTGACTTTTTCCCCATTGCCGGTTTCGGCGTGACGCATCCGGACCGTGGGCCGGCAGTTTGACATGCCTGTTTTACGCATTGTGGAAAATTAGAATCCCATATGTTAACATGAACACAAATGTGGCTCGTATCTGTAGTTAGTAATTTAAATCTACGCTTCTCTAAAACAGTTTCCGTGCCTGGAAACAGTGATTTCCTTTTACCTTTTTTTATTTTTACAAATAACTCAAGACAGTGAAATATCCAACATACTGTCATAGTTCCAACAGATGAAACTCTTCAAAAGAACTTCAAGGCATTGTTTACCTTAAAGAATCTTTTATTCGAGTAGCATAATATCGGCACTACATAAACAAAGCCAAAAACTGAATTCCCCTCCCCTGGGTACATAGTATCAAAGCACAATTCCCTTCTCCAATTCTTTATCAGCTCTGGGCTCAATAACCTTGATTCTCACACTGAGTTTACTGTTGTTATGTCTAGCTAGAGCCTCATTCACATCCCCCCCCAGCATCATCTAACTCTAAAAGCAAAAGGGAAAAAGATGGCTACATTTCCATCTGTTGTCAATGCAAAACATCCGATGTTAGCAGCGTTGACACATACCTTCCTTCTTCTATTTTCCCCACAACCCTGTGAGGTGGGCTGGGCTGAAAGAGAGTCATTGGCTCAAGATCACCAGCTGGCTTTCGTGGCAAAGATGGGACTTGAACACATGGCTCCCACTTTCTAGCCTGGTGCTTTAACCAATAGACCAAACTGGCTCTCATCATTAACCATTTGTCTTCTTGAGTCTGACTGATGTTGCAATCCAGCAACATTTCTAAGGGAAAAGGTCAACTTCTCTGGTTTTAATTTCAATTAAGACAACCCACAACTCATTGGGTTATCAGGTCATCCTTTCAGAGATACTTCCTTACCAGATTTTTCAACTCCTTCAACAGTGGCAGAACTTCTAAAGTATTAGGAAAGTTCTTAAAAATTCAGGGCAGAGATTTGTATTCAAGGCAGAGATGTACCTGCCGTGAAAGTAGCTCTTGTTGAACTATATAGCACAGCCAAACATGAGGAGCTGACTGCAGGAAATACTTTACGACATTTTGTGTGATGTCATGAAATGCTTTATGATCACTTTTAATGTCATAAAATGATTTATACAATTTGCTACATTTCCAGTTATGGTCCCAGATTTTGGGTGCGTTCTGTAAATCAGCCCATTTGAGATATCTTGGTTGAAAAGGTTTTGCTCTATGATGCACCATTTTGCCCAGTTAAAGGTTATGGACACAAGAGCTTTAGCAGTATATAGATAAATGTTAGATCAGAGGGCTATTTTCTGCTATTAGGTGTCCCTAATACTGTCTGCTGTCTCTTTGTCAATAAAGGCTTCTTCATTCCATCATTTAAAAGAGAAAGAACTCTGTCGATTGGGGCAGGATGAATGATCAAACATCTCCAGATCTTTAAAGCCTGGATGAATAAATAGCATGTGAATTAACAACTACAGAAGTAAATAGAAAGGCAAATAGAACGCCAACATCTGATTCTTCCATGCCACTCTTGTAACTCTTGCTGAGCAAAATACTGCAACGGTCATCAATAGGATTCTCACCGGGTGCCGAATGTCTGTAATAAGCAACACAATGTCTGACATCTCCAATACACGCCATAGCTGCCTCCATGTCTAGAAAAGAAATCAGAACATTAAAAAAAAGTCTTCTGTAGAATTTATCTTTCCCTAATGAGCCAGTCACAACACCCCTGATCAGACTTTGTGTTACTAACAGAAGAGAATATTTGTAACTCAGATTTGAACTGTGGGGTCCTTGGTGCTCTCTGAGCTTGGTTGTTTTCTTGGAAGACGTTTCATTACCCAACTAGGTAACGTCATCAGTTCTAGAAGTTCCCCAATTAAAGAACTATCAACTCAGGCAAACAATCCAACTGTAAACAACAGCCTAATCAAGGGACCAACAACAACATCCCCACCGACACTGACAGCCACTAGTACAGTGGTGGCGAACCTATGGCATGCGTGCCAGAGGCGGCACTCAGACCCCTCTCTGTGGGCACACATACCATGCCCCGGAGATGGTGAGGGACTGGCCCCCGCCACCCTGGCCCCGCCCACCCAGTCTGCCATGACCACCGCGGCCACGCCCACCTGGCACCCGGTGATAAATAAGTGGGTTTTGGGTTGCAGTTTGGGCACTGGATCATCATTGCACTAGTATAAAAACAGGAATCAAACCTGCAAATCTGCCCCCACTTCTAGCACTGATGATATTACCTAGTCAGGTAAGGAAACATCTGCAAAAAAGCAACTAAGTTCAGAGAGTACCAAGGATCCCACAGATTTTGTGCCCCTTTCCATTTTTCTTCTTGGGGGCCATATAATTAATATTGCCCAATCAATCCTAGTCCTCAAAATGTACAGGGTTTTTTGAAGCATCTACAAATACAAGAACAGACATCCCCAAACCGATGCCCCTCCTCCAAAGGCATGGACTATCAGGATTGATGGACAGCCTTTGACAACTGTAAATTAAGGGAACTGAATCTAGGGCACTCAGGTTTGTGAAGATGTACAAGGTTATCTTTTTAAGGGGCAGAATCAGCACAGGCATACCAGATATTTGGCATGTGTGGCCTGTAATGTATGCATTTTACTAGCATTTTGTTAACGTGTCATAACACTGTGTTCATCTATGAAAGAAAAAAAAAGCCTAAATCCGAATATCCAAGGGTAATAATCATGCAAAGACCATGAGATTTTCCCATTATCTGGTGCACAATATACGATAGCTTCTGGTACAGAAACTGAAAAATATACCCTGGATATAGGAAAAAAAAGTGAATTAATTTTACTAACAGGAGCAAATACTTATGTATTTATTTCTACGTTGCCATCCCAATACTTCCCCCCGCCCATAG